AAGGGAGAGATAACCTTTATTGTTTCTAATAGATAACTTTAGGGTAAGCTAAAAACTAAAAAGTCCTTAATTATAAGACTCTTTTGATAACCATTAAACTATATAATTAGGCTTTATATGAGGTTATTAAAGGTCAATGGTTTTAGTGAGCTTCATGTTGGCGAGTCTCTCGAGAAAGGCATTGAAAACATCTTCACGACTAAGCATACTGACTCGGACATGCTTCTTGTCAGAACCACAACGTTCTCCTGCTCTGGTCATAACCTTATGTTTCCTCAAATCACTAACCAGATCCGTCTCTCCCTTCGTCCCTAGCCACGCAAACGCTGTAATAAACACACACCAACCGTTACGTCTTATTCAATTACTACATAATAATCCAACCGTTACAACAAAAACATTAAACATTTGTCCTTTATTAAAATTAGTTAATAAGTAGTATTAATTTATTTACCAGGGTAAGATTCAAGTGACTTTCCAAAAAAGTTGCAATGGGCTTCAGGGTACTTAGGAAGAGTGAAGACATCACTCTCTTTCACCACTTCACGAAGCTTCTCCCATCGGTTCTTCATCATGTCACGACCATACTCGAAGAAATTCTCCGACTCGCTTTTACAAGTCTCCTTAAGGACTTTGAGGATCTTAGCGGTTCGGATCTGTGACTCCTTAGACACACCAATTGAGTTCACTACTATATACTCTACCATCTTCTTAGCTACCTCCTTGTCCTTCACCAATGCCCACCTTCATCATCACAACAAATTAAACACGTTGATATAACTTTTAAGTTTTTAATAACTTTTTTTGTTCTAATTAAAATGCATGATTTAATAACCACGACATAAAATTTAACGGTCACTCGCATGTCACTATTCGGGTTTAAACCTAGTAAAATGAATTGGAATATGATACATTGTGTCATTATCAGAATTTTGAATGTTATACATTGCGTCATTATCAGAATTTTGAATCTAGTGGAATGCATGTTGTACCGTGTGTCATTACTCAGAATTCAAATCCGATTATCGTAAAAGATAAAAGAGAAAAAAATCATACCCAATGCGGGACCCAGCGTGGCCAGTGATCTTGGAGAAAGTGAAAAGCATGATGTCATGGTCTTGACGGCGAGTGATGGGAGTGTAGTGGGGCCAATAATAGGCAAAGTCATGGATCACTTTGGCTTCCTCGTCGTCAGGTCGGTTTACCACCGTCTCTCTGATGGTTCCGTCTGGGTTATTAGGTGACGTCACAAGCTCGATGTACGGACCACTCTTGTCGAAACCCCATGCGTCTCCTTCCCACTTGTACATACCCGACCGAACATAGGTCGTCTCCTCCACATACGTCTGTTCCAAAAAAAAAAGTAATGAAATTTTGTACCTTTTTCTGATATTCTCAAAAATGAATAATTTTAGAAGAGAAGAATGGTTTTTGGTAAAAGCAAAAAAAATAAAAAAAATAGTGGGGACATGAGCATGTTACTGATGTCTTTGCACATGAATCCATTAAAAGAAGAGTGTTTTTGTAAATTGTTAAATCAGAAAAAGATTAAATGGTGGATGTGTTGTGTTGTGTTCGAGAAACATGTCTGTCACTGTGTCTTTTAGATCTCCAATAGTATTTGCTTTTACAAACAAACACCCCCTAAATCTAAACATCAAATCAACTTTTTAATTAAAACGACTTACAAATTATGATTTTAGATTAAAATTAAAAAGAAAAACCCATATAAGAAGAATTAATGAAGCATTTCTATAGTTTTTTTTTTTCAGAAAGAAAGCATTTCTATAGTCATTTTTTTTTTCAAAATGTTAATTCAAGTAACGTATGATAATCCTACAGAAAAATAAAAATAAAAAATATAAGAATGGCTTCTTTGTCGGGTTTACATTTGGTTAAGCAGTTTTTAAAGATAGATCCAAAACAGCACCAGAAAACCGTTAAAATTCTGTTTTTATTTCTTAGATTATTAATATGGATGAACTTAAGAAATTTGTTCCTTTCTAATGGCCAGCCACGTAAATTCGTAAAATTTAATTTTTAAATTAAGAAAAGAAAGAGAACCAAAGATAGATTTGGACTTGATCCAAAAAAAAAAAATGCTGATTAAAATAATCAATTAGAGAGTTCTGGTTTGTCTAGCTAAAAATTAGGTTCATTAGTCAAAGGATCATCACCCTATCATCACTATAGTATTTTGAAAACATAATTTCCTGAATTTTTTTCTTTGTTTGTTGCAAAAAACCGTCCCGAGTGCTCAAAAATTAAAATAATGTAAAAGATTTTTAAAAAAAATGTCAACGGAATATTAATAATAATGATTATTAAAGAAGAACAAAAAATATACGAGGAGGAAGAGTTTATAGTTAGTGGTGGGGGCTTACGGAGTAATAAGGTGCAGCAGCGACGACACTGACCGGTTGGGTCCCAGCTAGTGAAGCTAGTGCGTGGACGGCTGCTTGACAAAGCTGCGTCGAACCGGTCCCAACCACTATGTGTCGGTCCTCCGTTGCTGCGTTTCCGACCACACCGTGCAACTCTTTGATCGCATCAGCTAACTCCGGTTCCAAGAACCAACACAGATTCGTCACGTCGCTGAAGTAACTCATCAGATCCCAACCACGTATCGTCACCGTACACCTGTCACCAATCTTCTTCCAGTATTCTTCGTAAGCCGTTGGATCTCCACTGC